ATAAAAGAAAAGATCTCCCTCCTCCCTGCTCTAGAGGGCAACCTACTTACACAAACCAAAAATGAATTAAGCCCATAGTGGTGGATTCTAGGACAAGCCATTGTGTACAGACTAACTGTAAATGGAAAAACAAAAACAAAAACAAAAAATACTGTGGCACACCTCAGGGCTCATAAGTACACTTTACAAAGTATGTGGTGGTAGTGTGCCGTGGAGTCGATTCCGACTCACAGCGACCCTATACAGGGTTTCCGAGGCTACAAATCTTTACAGAAGCAGAAAGCCTCATCTTTCTCCCACAGAACATGTGGTACTTTCGAACTTCTGACCTTGAGGTTAACAGTCCAATTTGTAACCACTATGCTACCAGAGATACAGTAAACTATAAAACTATATGAAAACAACTATGTTGTTGTTGTTAAGTGCCGTCGAGTCGGTTCCGACCCATAGCGACCCTGTACAGGGTTTCCGAGGGTGTAAATCTTTACGGGAGTAGAAAGCCTCATCTTTCTCCCGTGGAGCGGTTGGTAGTTTAGAACCGCTGACCTTAAGGTTCACAGCCCGATTCGTAGCCACTACGCTACCAGAGCTCCTTACCATGTGTTAAAATTCCATTCAAATTCAATAGAATTTGATTGTAAGTCTATAATATTTTTTGCTTGTTTTTTTTTTTTTTTTTTTGCCCTAACATGGTTGCTTTTAAGTATTCCTAACTCAGAAATCAATCTATGCTATTTTGTAAAATTAAAAAGCACTCTAAAAATGTATAATGATGCCAATATTTGATTAAAGAGTTCAGTAATGTGTTAGAATTAAGCCATGATTTGTCAAGAAATGATTTGCCCACCAGATTTAAAGCGACAAACGAAACATATAAACGAACTTGTTGTGTTGGTAAGTGCCATTAAGTCAGTTCCGACCCATAGCGACCTATATAGAATTCTCTGAGGAGCGGCTGATGAGTTTGAGGCTTAAAATGACTTTGCAGTCCTGCACATTAACCCACAGCGCCACACCGGTACACCATAAACAATCTTATGCACCTACAGTTGAACATCACTGCTTTATGAGGCAATCAGGTATGCTGTACCATCAAACACACACAAAGGCAGCACTTTGTAGATTTGATTCAACAACATGCCTAACTGTCTAGTTCTGGTCTGAGCCTGAATTCCTGTGCAGAACTTTAGCCAAGAAAACATGACAACTATCAAAGAATTCTCCTTTAGCAGTGCAAAATGAGTGTAATGACAGAATATGCACAAGGTAGAAATTGCAGAACCATAAGAAGGTCTAGTGAAAATCTCCTGTTGAGACTGCATTTGTGTAATTATTCCTGCCCTACTATACTCAGCCATTTACAGAAGCTACTTGCTTGACATTGTTCAAATGGAAAGCGATTCTAAATGGAGAGAAGTACGCCTTTTGTGTTGCATTTGATTCTGAATTTCAAGCTAAATAAATCAACCCATCCACCACTGTCATCAAGTTGGTTCTGACTCATAGTGACCTGATAGAACAGAGTAGAGCTACACCTTCGGGTTTCCAAGACTGCACATCTTTACAAGAACAGATAACCTCATCTTTGTCCCAAGGAATAGTCAGTTGGTTTGAACCTCCGATCTCTTGTTTAGCAATTCAATGTTTAACCCATTATACAACTAGGCCTCCTTAAAAAAATAATAAATAAAAATAATAAAATCAAGGAGATCTTAATCTATATACTGAAGCAAACTCTGCAGTTTTCTTATAGACTCCATGGAACTCCACCCCCATGCCCTGGTCTCTAGAAGTTGAGAGGAAGGTAGACTATTGTGCCTCCTACACTTTCCTGTCATACAACATTGACTAGGAGATGGGGTGGGGGTGGGGGGGAAGAGGAAAAGGTAATCGAAGATATTTGAATGACATCCACCCTTCTATGCACTTCTTCACTTTGGGGTTATGGCTTCATTGCCTGCTATGGTAATAAAAATAGAGGCTGGCCAAAGCAGTGACCTTTGATTCTTAGCTCTCTCCTACACATGCCACTCACACATCCTAATATGATGGCAATCATAACAAGGTCAGGACAACTGTGTTAATATTGCCCCCTTTCAGAGTTGTACCTAAGTCTCCAATAGCATCGAGGACATGCTATGATTTCTTTGAGACTTAAAAGATGGAAAAACAGCTTGCAAAAAGGTGCATAGGTTCTGGTGTGCACTCCGGAAAGCAAGCCCAACTGAATTCTTGCTATGTTCAAAAGCACCCTTGACAGTATTTTCAGTCTTTGGTAATACTTTTACACCTAAATGTTTTAACTCAAATACAATAACTGATTTTATTTTCTGACTCTGCACATGCAAATATTTTAACAAATTTGGATATGTAAAAAATTAGAAATAGGTCAGTACAGTTGCTCATAGAGATTGACTCCAAACACTAATTAATTTGCCTTGCATGTTGTGAAAAATATACCATAAGAATATTTTGCCTTCTTTTTTATTCTTTTATCATATTTAATTACATTAGCTTTACTGGAATGGAACATTTTTTTTTAAATGATAATACTGTTGAAGTTGTGCTTTTCTAAAGTTTGGCAAATTGTTATGATCAGTATTGGAAGTAGAATTAAAATCTCTTTAACTATTGAATCTAACCTTTTTCATATCTATTTTATCACTTAAATGAGAAAAAAAATATTATGTTATAAAAACAGCTAATAGATATGTGCTAATGTGTCCTTTCAGTAATTCACTAGACAAATTATTTTGAGAATATATCTTGAATGTAACTCTTCAACTTTTCTTTTGATTTTTTTCCTCAGTCATCCAAAGTTTAAAGTATGTCAACCAGTGCCAGTTAAGTCATACGGATAGTTTCATAGCATATAAACTATTTTCTACTCTTTACACTGCAAGCAAATTTATTTGTTACACAAGGCTTATATCAGCATGGCCATTTGAATTTAAAAAACTGAAAGAAAGAAATTATGAAATTTTTCTCAATGCACAAATCATTCATCACAAAAACAGAACTGAAATTACTCCATTTTAAATCTGTTTTTCTGTCTCTGTTCATTTTTCATTAATCAATATGTATTTTTTGTCTTTTTAGCTTGCTTCAATTTAACTGGGTACGTAATAACAGATAAGCTAAAATAATAATTAACAAGCATCACATACTTCTAACCTTATTTGAGACACAAGGATATTTCACATCACATATAAATGCACAGGAACACACACGCTACTTGTTTAAATACATATTAAATAAAGCCACATGCATCTATTCATTTTGAAAGGCTGATTGCATCACTGAACAGCTAAATATGAGAGAATTATTTATAATAATCTTCTCTCCAATCTATTTCATGCTACTTAACAGACAGCATTCCAGAATTATACACAACATCTAACTCATTTCCATGCTGCAATTGTGTTCACGTTGGTCTGTCATAGAATTGTAATAAAATAAATGTATTATCATTATACTCTAGTATAAAAGATAGATTGAAAATGTATATCATTGAGGCAAATTTCAAGTTTTGTCATTAACTGCTAATATATGCAAATCAAGGTAAATAATAATAATAATGTAGCTAGTTATAAATTCTGATTTGAATTTCATGGTTGATCTCTTTATATTAACAGATTTAAATAAGGTTTTCTCTTTATCTGAACAGATTTAAATAAGGTTAGTCTGACATACATTAGTAACAGTATTAAATAGATGTCTATGTATACTTGGTTTATAAGCCACAGTTTTTATCAAATTACCTCTTTACAACCACTAAATCATTGGGTTTTTAACAAAAGTTCTAAATCACAATATAAAAGTAAAACTCTTCTTCATTTTTATTAGTACAACATTAATGAAGCATATATAACATTGTTACCTAGCTAGAATAAATTATTTTCAAATCCCCAATACGTGCTTCTGTCTTGATTCTGAGTATGTATGATTGAATACATGTATTCAGTTTCGTCAGCCCTTCTAATAGTATCAAATGTAGGCAACGATTTTCCATTGAACTTGAAAAGTTAGAAATAAGGCAGAAAGTAAGAAAGATAAATTCCGTTTGTTTAAATTATGTTGCTGTGTAAATCATACTGGACAACATAGTAAGTAGAAACACAAAATTCTGACTTCAGAAGTTTCAGCATGTAAAGGTTTCCACTAGGCAAACTGTCAAGACAAATTGGATAGAATCAGTGAAAACAGGCCTTTGCTTTCTTGGCTATACAAGTTGAAGGAGAAAATCTTGATACAAGAGATGTCTTAAGATAAAACAACAGTTTTCCAGCCAAAGGCAACTCCTCTCACTCCCAAAAGTTCCTGACTAGTCAGCTAATTTCAAAATGTGTTCTTTAAAAAAAAAAAAATCACAAAAGAAAAATAACTATTGGCTCTTCTATATTCTTTATACTTGTCAAAGATCAAATAATTACAAGTACAACTTTGTCAAATGCATAGATTGTAAAGAAAAATCCAAAACTTTATTCAAAGTTTAATAAAGAAAAATGGCTCCATCCAGATAGCATATATAGGTGTTCAGAAAGCAATAGTGCTTATATATTTGAGAATTAAAACCTTTTTTTTCCCCCACTAAAGGATGGAGGAACCCTATAAACCTTCCAAATGTCTATATAATACATTAGAAATAAGTTCACTTACAAAAGTAATCTAATAATTTCAGGTAATACCAAATAATACTGTCTCAGTTAATAAAATGTCCAAAGAACAGAGAAAGCAAATGGCAGTGACCCAAAGGTTCATTATCACTAGTTTATAAGTATTCACTTTATCATCATCAAAAGCAACAATACAGCTATAACACACAGAAGACCAAAATAGACTACCAACTTTTTGCAATAAGAAAAACAATACTTCTATTGGCACTGCTGCTGGATCTCTACTCTACTAAGTGCCACACCAAGATAAAGCAATACATTTGGCAATTTTAAATGCCCAAATATTTCTTTAAGGATAAGATCTGTGTTTTATATTGTTCTTACCTCAATAATTCTGTCATGAACCTCTAGGCCATCTGTTCTGTCAGCAGGTCCATTTTCCAAAATTTTTGAAACATAAATTCCTTCAGTTGATTTTTCTTCTTGATTATTCTATAAAGAATATAATCCTTAACATTAAGAAATACATAAAAGAGAATTCGAGTTGGATAAAGAATAATTTACTGAATGCTGCTTTGCCAATCTTTCTCAAATATGTAAATCTCTGGCTTAGCTAGCTAGGGATTTGGCTCTGAATTTTAACTTACTTAACATTAACTAGTCATTAATCAAGATGGCAGTTTTAATGAAGAAGTGCAGCATTTCTGACAAGATTATCTGTTTAGTAGAAATTTTTGAGTACACAGAAAAAAAAGCCATGGAGAAAGGGCATGCACAAGGTGATAGAAAGCAACTGGCTCTGAAATATCACTTTTAAAACATCTCACTTTTGAAGAGAGGTGGAAAGTAAAGTGAGATAACATTAAAGGTAGAAAACGTTAAAGTGGGGGCAGGGGGAAGAAGAAGAAGAAAGAAAAACATATCCAGTTCTTGGTTTGAGATCTGATCATAGTTTTGAAAATACAATTCAGCTTCACGATGTGATAGATTTGGCAATACAGCCCCAACTGTCTATTCACAGGAGGGACTATGAGCTTTGCTCAAGTGTAAAGTCCCAAAAGATCAACTCATATACTACAAGAGAACTTCTTGAAAGCTAATCTTTACACATTTCCAGAATGTGCAATTTGCCTAATAATGATTAGCTAAATCTCAAATGCATATCCCCAATATGGTACAAATAAGAGATTTTAGCCAGTCAAAGGAAACCAATTATATTTAAAACTGACTTAAGGAAAATATTCAATATCCTGCAATCATACATTGTATAATTTTAAATGTCATTTTCTGCCTAGCAGGTTAAATAAAATTCTTTCTCTTTAGGTCACCTTTCTTAACATAAATTATGAGAGACTCTTAAAAATGTCCCATGCCATCTAAACGTCAAACACCTAATGAAAATTTATAAACATATTCTTTATAAACATATTCCCTAGGGGAAAAGTGGACAAAATGATTTGGAAAGATTCCTACCTTTTCATAATGGGATGGGGAGGGGCAATTTTAGAAACAGAAGCACAGTTGTTTTCAAAATACTAACACAAGGAAGACATATGTCATTGCCATCCTGACCTAAACCTAGCATATGGACAACAACCCCATTATGGTTTCCTTGGGCAACATCTGCAATGCAGGATGCAAAAATTTCACAGCAGTTTATAGGGAAAAATAAAGAACATGATTCTTTTAAACTTCACCACCTTTTTCCATTTATGGTCAAGTGAAATTAATGTAAGATTTGGAGGCTATAAAAGGACTTCGCAGCTACAGGTGATGGTAGAAGCTAATATTTTAGGCATTTTAAAAACAATTGGTGTCAACATGAAGAATGTTATTCATTCAACTAAATCAAAGTTTCTATTTGGGGAGCTGACATTTCAAATCAGCTAACTTTTAAAATATGATATTTTCTATGCAATTGTGAAAATAATTACTCTTAATTTCAATATGCAAAACAGGACTGCGGTTTCATTCACTAAACATATTATTAACTCCTTAGTCGGTGTTAGTCTGTGAAAATTGAGTAATTTGACTTAATAAACAGGAAGCACAAGCAGGAATATAATTACCTAACATACATGTTATCAAATAGAAATTGCCTGTAAACATTATAGTTAAATATGCTTAAGAAATCAGTCAGCGGGTTATAAAATTTAAATTAAATGTGCAAAGGGAAAGAGAAGTTGTCTGGGTTTTTCTTTTTTCCATCAAAAAAATTTAGAATATTTATATTATATAATAAGTGATATCTGATAACAAGCATAATCATAAAGAGTAAACCATTTTTTTAATACTAAAAAATCCACAAATGAAAATTAAGTCTCCTATTATTTTAAAGGCAACTATTGCATCGTATATTAATAAGGTACATTACCTGATTTGGTCGACCGCCTATAATATTGAATCCCAAGGTGTCACTTTCTCTTTCTAACACAATGGTGACTATCTTACGTTCTCCAGCCTAGAAAATAAAGGATAAAATGACTAAGTAGCTAAAAATTGTGAGATAAAAATAAATGCCACAGGATAGATTTCCCCCTATAAATAAATACTTTAAAAGGGGAAAATCTTAAAGGATTATTGATTAAATCTGGAAGGTTAATATTTTTTCCTAAATTTACTCTGAAAGTCTATACTATAGGAGTATTTGAATAATTAGACACGAGAAAAAGGTGATTTACAAAAAAATGATTAACTAACTGTATTTTTACACATGCTTATCTTTTACCCTAATGCAGCATCTTCATTATGACTTCAACGTAAACTAGAACAGATTTCTGGCTTAACCCTGCAGGTATTTTTTTTCCCCACCTCTTAAAATAAACTGCTCCATGAGTTTACAACTATTTTATATAAAATTTTCATTTGGAAAATCTTAAAGGATTTATTTATAAGTTAGCCCTGGTGATGTGGTAGTTAAAGCACTTAGCTGCTAATCAAAAGATTGATGGTTCAAAGTCACTAGTCTTCCAGGGGAGAATACTGTGGCAGTCTACTGAAAGAGTACAGCCTTGGAAACCCTATAAGGTGGTTCTGCTCTGCGCTTTATGGTAACTATGAGCCAGAATGACTTCATATCATTGGGTTTGGTTTTGGTTTGAGCTATTTATAAACTTCTTTCAACAATAATATTCAGATTGCTCTTGTTATATCGTATCTGAGGGATAACAGCAATCCTATAATTATTAAATAAAATTTCTTTCAGTCTTCAATAATTACTGAAAAATTTGTAAAGATTTGTGATAAAGTAGTATGTATTTCTATTTATGACCAGATAAATAGAAATTACATCTACTATTCTTATAATTGGGAGTCCTGGTGTGGTGCTGTGGGTTAATGCACTAGACTGCAAAGACGCTTTGAACTATAAGGTCGGCGGTTCAAGCTCATCAGCTGATCCTTGGAAACCCTATACAGGGTCACTATGGGTCAGAACTGACTCAACAGCACTTAACAACAACAACAATTCTTATAACTGATAAAGACAGTTTAAATATAAGATGAAATAGTTCCAGACTAAGATGAGCTTTATTCATATTTAAGAATATTCTTAACTATCTAGGAAAATTATATACCTGGCAATTATTTCTGAATCATAAAGCTTCATCACCATCATCACCACTACCACCATCACCGCCATTCCCCAGGAGCTCTACCTAGGCAGTGCACACAGCAGCCCCTACTGGTAGTGGAAAAGCATTGCTGAAAGAACCAAGAGCCTTTGAAAAATTAGCCTGTAAAAGGGGCTCACTACCAGGAACCATGGATTGATTTACTGCAAAGACTTCTGGATAGTTTAGTTCTAGCTGTTGCTTCTTTCTTTCCCTCACAAGCCTGGGACTAAAACCTGAAGGAGTAATGCACAGGGAATTTTTGTGCTTTGGAGTCCTCATATTTTGCAAATCTATCCATTTATATAGGGAGCCCAGGTGACCCTGTAGTTAATTGCTCGGCTACTAACTGCAAGTTTGGTGATTCCAACCTGCTTCTTACCAGAAAGTTGTGGCAGTCTGCTTCCATAAAAATTTACAGCCTTGGGAATTGTGGGGAAGTTCTCTCTCCTATAGGGTCGCTATAAGTAGGAATCCACTTGTCAGCAAAGGCATTGGTTTTGGATATTATAGAGATTAGAGAGAGAATCATAGCATGCAAAATTTCAAGAAGCAGCGTGCTTCTTTATTAGGGTAGAAACATTTTCGCCCCCTCACTTCAAGAATAAAAGCTTCCAAACGCCTGAGTTGGAGGCAGTACAAAACAGTCCCAAATAAGATTCCTCCTGGGTTGCTCCTCCCCAGGAGTGCTGAAGAATGAAAACAGCTCCTTGAATGGAGTGCAAGTTCTGCTAAATCCCTGCTCACCATGGCAGCACCCAACAATGTCAAACACAGTACAGAAGCCCTCCAGAAGAGAAGTAACAGCTTTATAAACAAGCCTCTTCGCCCTGGGTACTGCAAAGAGGCTTGTTTATTCCGTCTGAAAGCCAGGCTCCAGCAGAGTAGTTTGGGACTAGCAGCTTGGACAAAGAAGGGAAACAGCCGCTGCCTAGAGCTTCCAGTGACAATCTGACTACAGATGGATGTGGCTGCTTTGGAAATGGGTTTTCCAAATCGCCTCCTTACACACACACACACACACACACACACACACACACCACCGATGATGACACTCAGAGGCAGGAAAGTTATCCGTGGAAAGTCACTACAGTTCTAAGAAATCCCATCTCTCAACTATTGGGGTTGTCCTGGTCCCCACGTTCCCGTTAATCCTTATAATGGGCAGAAGGCAGCTGATATGGGCAATATTGCAGGGAAACTAAGTCGTTCGACGCTAATGCCATTCCTAGGTGTGGGAAAGATAGTGTGGTGGTAAAACTGGTGACTGCAGGGGCGGAATGGTGTTCATTTCCTGGTTTTTCTTTCATTTGGGGATTATCGTCAAGGGTTAAAAAAGAGAGGGGGGCGTGGAGCAAGAGAGTGAAAGATGGGTAAGGAGAATCTGAGTGGGAAAATTAGCTTTCCCAAGTCGTGTTTCTCCGTGGGAAAGTTGCAATTGAATCTGTTGAGTTATTTCCAATCCTACTGCAAGTGGACAGAGTAAAATGAAATACAAAACACTTGACACAGGTGAGTCTGAACAGATGACCTTATGGTTAGCAGGTCAGTGCTTATCCTACTGGCCTGCTACCCGTAAGCTCAGCAGTTCAAACTCACCAGCTGCTCTTGGAAACCCTATACAGGGTCGCTGTGAGTCGGAACAGACTCGACAGCACACACCACCAACAAAAACCAACACATATATGTAAGATAATAGTATAATATGATCAGGCTGGGTGGATGCTTTTTACTACTTAGTAAGGAAGGTAGTTGTTTTTCAAAGGAATCCACGTTCGTCTTTCCATCCCAATCCATCATCCCCCGGTGCCCACTCCCTCTGTGCTTACCCGGCTATAACCTTCGTCCAGGTCGCTGGCGAAGTTGCCGACATGAGCCATGTACTGGTTGAACTTCTCCTGGTACCTGCGGGCCATCAGTTGTACCTCACTCTGCAGCGCCAAGAGCTGCGCCAGTAGCTCCTTCTCACGCTGCCTCCAAATTAGGGCCCGCGGTTCAGGCCCCTGCCTGTTTTCTCTGCGGCCTCTCGGCTGACTCCGGCGCGCGCCCCCGCACCAGCCGGCCCCGGGCGTCGGCCCTCCGCCCCCCCGTGCGGGCACGTCCCCGCCGCCGCCCCCGGGTCCCGAAGCACAGCCCAGGCGGCCGTGTTCAGGGCGGTAGTCACAGCGCTCAACGTGCGCCGCCAGCTCGTGCAGTCGCACGGTGCGGCCACAGCCGCGGACGCGGTAGTCACACTGGATGCGCAGCTTCTGGACGAGACTGCGCAGCGGCAGCACCCGGTGCAGCTCGTCGGGAGCCAGGGGCTGGCACTGCAGAGGGCACCGGCGCCGCCGCGCCGCCCAAGGCAACAGGCAGCTGGCGCAGAAGACGTGCCCGCACGGTGTGCACAGGGGCTCCTCCAGCACTTGGCTGCAGAGCTTGCACTTTAATTCCGAGTCCACTGCTTCGGGGAAGCGCTCCAGGGCAAAACCCATGTTAGACAGATGGAGAAAACCCGGGAAGGAGTTGCAGCGAGTGAGAGTTAAACCGGAGCCACTTCCTTAGCTTCGCCCTGGGGCAACGGTGATGCTGAGGCCGCTGCTCTTGGAGGGGAGGAGACGGAGAGTGGGGTGTGATCTCAGAGTAAGTTTGGCTAGAAGTTTTCTGGCTCAAGTTAGGGCCCCAGACGCCGCCGTATTGATGCTAATAGGCGCTACACAGCTACACAGAGAAAGACCCCCACCGTCTTCGCTACTGTGAGACTTCTTGCTATTTTTTCGCCCCCTCCGGAGATGACGCTTGCTTAAAATTGCCTTTAAGGAAGCTGTGTTCCCCTTTACTCGCTTTGTGAGCTTCCAGCAATCAAGGTTCCTTGCCCATGGCAGAGTTGGTGATGGGAGGGGCGCGGATGTTAAGAAGCAACTTCAGAGCCTGCCGAATCCTCTTCGTCTGTCATCAAGTCAATCCTCAATAAATATGTTTGAAATAGATATACTTTGGTTCTTTCCAATCAGTCAACAACAAAACTACCAGCTAAGGAGCTGCGACTTTAGGATATCACTATTAAGTATCCGCAGAGCGAGACTTCTCAGTCAGGTTCCAAAATTCAGGTGAGTGTAGAGAGGTGGGATGTCTTAACTGAGCAGCAAAGATGAGGAAAAGTCCAGGTGCCAACCTCTGGACGTTTTGGGGAGTGATAACAGCCACTCAGGACTTCTGGTGTGACGCTGTAAAATCAGCACCGGACGGAGAACCACAAGGTTGGCAGTTCAAAGCCACCAGCTGCTCCTTGGAAACCCTCTACAGGGTCGCTATGAGTCTGACTGACTGGAAGGCACTTAACAACAACAGACACTCAAGACCTCCTAGCAAGTGAAGAAGTTGGAATTATGTCATCTGGCAGTCTGACTCCAGATTCAATCGCGACCCGTCCATGTTCCTAATTCCACAGGCATTTTGCCACTGGGAATAGGAATGTGATGATTCTGGCAACTGGAAAAGATAATTACAGAGAGGAAATATGAAAGAAAGCTATAAATAGCAGAAAATAAATTATTTATGACTGCTTTCCTCGATTTACCCTGAGCTCTGGTAGCGTCGTGGTTACGAATCGGGCTGCGAACCTCAAGGTCAGCAGTTCGAAACTGCCAGCTGTTACGCGGTATAAAGATGAGGATTTCTCCTCCCTTAAAGATTTACAGCCTCGGAAACCCTGTACAGGGTCGCTATGAGTCGGAACCGACTCCACGGCATATAACCATAACCATGCAGCATAGGATCCAAACTGCCCCCTCCCCAGTATAACTCTTCAAATTGCTAGGGTTGCTGAGATTTACTGCAAACCTGTGGTAAAGGGTTCCTCAAAGCGCTCCCTACCCACTTCCTGAACTTCCTTCACCATATTATGGATAGAAAGAAACGCTACTACCTGGATGCTCACTGCTATTATCCTGAAGCTACTACCAGATGTTTAGGACGGGTTTAGTAAATTAATCATTAATGCTTCTTACTGCCAATTGCGTGTTGTTCTGGGAAAGCTATGCAGTTCTGTAGAGTACCAATCAGCATCGATTTAAACCCATAAAAAAAGACTCCAGATTTGCATTTTAAATCTTTAAAGCTAACTGCAATATCAGCAGTTCAAACCCACCAGCCACTCCTCAGAAACCCTATACAGGGTCACTATGAAAACTTACTTTATGTCACTTAACAAAGAAAACTGAGGAATTATCAACTAATACCTTATGATTCTTCTTTCATCTATAAAAGATGAAATTTTATTACAGTAGCTCACTAGCCAGCAAGGATTCTTGAATGGTTTAGCAGCTTAAAATGTGACTTAAAACTATTTTTTCAAAATGACTCTCTATATTCCATATTTTATAGATACATATATATGACCAGGAAACCTTTGTCACTATGCTCCATATTTCCTGAAGGCTTGATCCATCATTTAATATTAACTCCTTAAACATCCTTTTGAATTACATAGTCTGGAAAAGTTTATTATACAGAATTTATCCAAATAATTCTGGGGATGAGGAATAATTCTTTTAATAGCCATAGAGACTATTTGTTTCACAATAAATGACTGAGAATTTTTTATACTAGGATTAGAAGAATGAGACTTGCAATTATATGAAGAGAGGTGGAAAAATGGCCATATGATGTTCTTAGTCCACACATACATTTTCTGTAGTGAATGGAAGGAAGGTGAGCAGATGATGGTATGGGTAATTCTAAAATGCGTAACATTCTGGTTGTTAGAGAGAAGATGGATGTCAAAAATCTTGTCCACAGAGAATAAGAAATCCAAAAGTGAAAACATATGAAGTCAAGTAATGAAGTAGACCTAAAGAGAGCTGAGGAAATCTTTACATGAGAAAAAGCAAATATGAACACTTTCTGAAGAATTAAGCACCAGGAGCAAAACATTGTAAGAGTTAGGTGCTAAGTGAATGGACATACCTAACTGGTCTTCATGGTCTTTTCCTATCTGAAAACAGTGCGGCACATTAAATCTGTGACATCAGTTGAGCCAAATAGTCTGATTTCACTTCACAGACTGCCCCAAGATTTTTCTAATCATTAGGAAAACTACATCTCTGAAAAACCTGGGTGAGCCAAGATCATGGAGTATAATTAAATAGGAGGCAATTAACTGAGGTAAGCAAATAATGCTTTTGAAATTATATTTTAAAATATGCACAATTTTTCAATCAAAACAGACCTAATAACATTTAACTGTCTTTAGGCAAATTAGACAAATTAGCACCTAGCATCTTCAGCTTGGGTATATCCTTACGTTTTCACTGAGCATAATTTACTCTTCAGAATCCCTACTTAGTGAAAGTTGCAGGTTGGAAAACAACATTTGGGAAAGAGCTAAAAGTGAAACCGCTGTTGTTGGCTGTTATTGTTATGTGCCCTTTAGTCAAGTTTGACTCAGAGCAACCCTGCTCAGCGTTTCCAAAGGCCAACTTGTAATTTACCTCCTTCTGAATGTGGCCAAGCCCACATCTGTCACCTTTCTCATAAACAGTAATCCGGCTGGACCTGATAGTGTGTTTTGCTGACTGAGCTATGAAGAAAAGACAGGAAATTCACTTAGTTCATCTTCTAATCTAGAATCATGGCTGGATTCAGAATATCGTTAAATAATCATTATCATAAATAATCAGTAAATAGTTACATCTTCAGTCTACTGTCAAAGGTGATGTATTAATGAAAACAAAACTTAAAAATTCACTTGTTATATTCCTGGTGAGGTGCTGCAGGATAATGTGCTAGACCACAAGTTCAGTTTGAGCTGCAAGGTCAGCGGTTCCAATGGAAACCCTATACAGGGTTGCTATGAGTCAAAATTGACTCGATGGCACTTTACAACAATAACAATAGCATATTCCTTGGACCAAATCATAGAGCAGTGATGAAACAGAGGTGTGCCCATGGTATTCCCATTAAGAAGCAAGTTTCTAAGCCAGCTTTGACTCACCCTGCTTTCAAGTACTAACTGGGAATCTAGGAACTGATTGGTTGTTGAAACAGATGCCAAGAGACCAAATAGTGAAATGTTATATATTTCAAGACCCTAAAATGATGTCTTTACTCCATGCATTGATAATGCATAGGTGACTTTTTACCTCCCCTATGGAGTCCTGGTGTGGCGCTGTGGGTTAATCCAGAACTGCAATTTGGGCTTGAACTGAAAGCTTGAACTGCAAACTCACCAGTCACTCCTCAGAAACCCTATATAGGGTCGCTATGAATCAGAACTGACATGGTGGCCCTTACCAACAACAACAGCAATGTACGGATAATAGTTTGCTAGTACAATCTCATATGTGACTTTAGAAACATTTCATCTCAAGCATTTGAACATAATTAAACAGACATAAAGTCAGACACTTGGTGAAATATTTAATAGAATTTAAGTAAGTCATTTCTTTATTAAATATAGGTTCATATAGCATATTTGGTACTTTTTAAACAGTGTTATTATTGTTGTTAGATGCCGCACAGTCAGTCCCATCTCATTTGATGTTGGGTGCCATTAAGTTGGCTCCAATCCATAGCCAAATTTCATCCCTCATACTTTGGACATATTGTCATGAGGGACCAGTCACTGGAGAAGGTTATCATGTTTGGTAAGGTGGAGGGTCAGAGAAAAAGAGGAAGACTCCCAGCGAGATCGATTGGCAAAGTGGCAGCATCGATGGGCTCGAGCGTGGCAACAATTGTGAGGTTGGCCCAGAATTGGTCAGTGTTTCGTTCTGTTGTGCATAAGGTCACTATGAGTAGGTTCCAACTTGATAGCACCTAACAACAACAACAACAACAACAACAACAACAATCCATAGCAACCTTATGTACAACAGAACGAAACCCCACCCAATCCTGTGCTAGCCTCACAATTACTGCTACTTTTTAGCCCATTGCGGTTGCCACTGTGCCAGTCCAACTCACGTGAGGACTCCTTCTTTTTTTCTGACCTTCCATTTTATCAAGCATGATGTTTTCCAGGGAATGGTATTTTCTGACATTATGTCCAGAATATGAGAGTTGAAGTCTAGTCATATTGACTTCTAAGGAGCATTCTGGTGGTACTTCTTCCAACACGGATTTCTTTTTTTCTTGTTCATATAATCCAGCTTCTTGGATTATTAACAACCTTTTAGTTATCAGATAAGTGCTTAATTAGTGCACCATCAGTGCTCCTTTCTAGTTTAATTCAGAATCCGTTAAACTCAGAGAACATGCAGGGATAACAATGCCTATAATACCTTCTATTGACATGTTATCCATTAGGACTTATTTGCTATAAATGTGCTTTTCCACTATATTTAGCAAAGTGAAGTGTTAGAATGTGCATCGTGACAGTACGGAATGCCATTTATAAGAGAATAATATATTATGAACAGAACAAATACATACACCAAAATAGAATCAATATTAACAGCTATTGTGCAGTCTCTGTGGAAATGAATTATTAGAC